ACTTTGAGATAATTCTTAAAATTATAGTGTAACCACATAAATTAAAACAAAAACAAAAAAAAAAATTATAATTTCAACATCAGGACATAAAAAAACAAGCTTCTCTAAAAAATTAAAATGATATATTTTGGAAATAAAAAATTTGGGAGAAATATACATATACAAATGATCATCTAACCAAAAAAAATTAAATAAAGAATATTAAGAAGATGTGATGAAATAAGAAAGAAAATCATCAAAAAAAAATAACATAAAAAAATAGGGACGGATAATTTGTTTTAAAAAATTAGGCTAATAACCCCTAAATAAGGCTAATTATAAAGTTATTAAGGAACTTGATTGCTAAAAGAACGATGCATGATTAAAGATGTACTACGTGCCATCGAAGTATTTTAGGAATTTTTACTAAAATTATCAAAATTGCACCCAAAAATAATAATAAATACCATCATTCTTTGCATGGATGAGGCTTAGACCTACACTTAAAATTAAAGAGAGTTTGGACATCTGAAGAGCTCTAAAGCCCTGCTCAATAATCGATGTTGATGACAACCAAAAATGTTTTTTTGTCGCTCAACCACCATTGTCCAACTATCCTTGATTATTGTCACCCTACTATCTTCCTCGCCAAAATAGTCTTATTATCATTGCCTGACTATCATGATTTTCGCATCATCATCGATCGTTAGATTATGATCACCATTTTGTGACCTTTATTGTCCATTTTCATTTCGTGATCAATGTCACAACCTTCCACTACTTCTACAATGTCTACTAAACTAATAGGAAACCAAGTTAAAGTTCTTAATTTTGTAATTGCATGTTCTTCAATAGGGAAAAGGCATAAATATGAAATAATACTTTCATAATAGATCATTTTAACAAGATTAGGCCACATGGTTTTTTAACTTTTAGTGGTTCTCATATAAAAATTGTGATGTCTCTTGTGTTCTTTCATTCAATTTATATAAGTGATGGACTTTCGTATAAAATTAAGAAACTAATCTCTCTCTCTATTGTCATGAGTCTTTTTAGTATACAAATAACCATACCAAAAATAAAAATTCCCTTAAAATAGTTGGGTTGCTCTACCCTTTAAGAGTTGGTTTTAGTCTGTCAGGTAAGCAACTTATGTTATAGAAAAAAAAATTAATATAATTTTTTTTACTTTTTAAAATTTTATACTTGAAAAATGTATTTGAAAACTATTTAAAATAGAAAATGCATATTTAAAAATTGATAGGGCAATGATGATGGTGGTCAGGCTTCATCGATTTGACTATGATGATCAGGTGGTAGCGATCCAATGGTGATGGTCAACGTCTCAACGATGATTGTATACGTAGTCAAATGATATTCATGGTCCAATGATCGTGGTTAAGCAATGCTGGTCTAACAACGATGATTTGAAGATGTTGATTATCTGACGATAGTGTTCAGGTGGAGGTTTGATGATGATAGTCAGACGACGGTGGTCTAATGGTAGAGGTTGGCAATGATTATTTGATGATGGTGATCCAATAGTGGCAATCGATAGTGATTTGATGACAATGATCCGGTGGTGGTCAGATGGTTGTTGTTGAACAGCGGTTAATGTGGCAACCGAGGGAGTTATGACAATAGTGGTCGAATGGTGGTCTTACAAGGCAATCAAGTAGTGGTTAGATGGCAAAAATTACTATCTTCCTCGCCAAAATAGTCTTATTATCATTGCCTGACTATCATGATTTTCGCATCATCATCGATCGTTAGATTATGATCACCATTTTGTGACCTTTATTGTCCATTTTCATTTCCTGATCAATGTCACAACCTTCCACTACTTCTACAATGTCTACTAAACTAATAGGAAACCAAGTTAAAGTTTTCAATTTTGTAATTGCATGTTCTTCAATTGAGGGAAAAGGCATAAATATGAAATAATACATTCATAATAGATCATTTTAACAAGATTAGGCCACATGGTTTTTTAACTTTTAGTGGTTTTCATATAAAAATTGTGATGTCTCTTGTGTTCTTTCATTCAATTTATATAAGTGATGGGCTTTCGTATAAAATTAAGAAACTAATCTCTCTCTCTATGTTGTCACGAGTCTTTTTAGTATACAAATAAAAATACCATACCAAAAAAAAAATTCCCTTAAAATAGTTGGGGTTGCTCTACCCTTTAAGAGTTGGTTTTAGTCTTTCAGATAAGCAACTTATGTTATAGAAAAAACAATTTTTTTTAATATAATTTTTTTTACTTTTTAAAATTTTATACTTTAAAAATGTATTTGAAAACTATTTAAAATACAAAATGCATATTTAAAATTGATAGGGCAATGATGATGGTGGTCAGGCTACATCGATTTGACTATGATGATCAGGTGGTAGCAATCCAATGGTGATGGTCAACGTCTCAACGATGATTGTATACGTAGTCAAATGATATTCATGGTCCAATGATCGTGGTTAAGCAATGTTGGTCTAACAACGATGATCTGAAGATGTTGATTATCTGACGATAGTGTTCAGGTGGAGGTTTGATGATGATAGTCAGACGATAGTGGTCTAATGGTAGAGGTTGGCAATGATTATTTGATGATGGTGATCCAAAAGTGGCAATCGATAGTGATTTGATGACAATGATCCGGTGGTGGTCAGATGGTTGCTGTTGAAAAGCGGTTAATGTGTCAACCGAGGGAGTTATGACAATAGTGGTCGAATGGTGGTCTTACAAGGCAATCAAGTAGTGGTTAGATGGCAAAAATCGGGAGATTGTCCGATAAAAGTGGCTTGGCAGTGGTGCTCAGGTCAATTTTCAAAAAATTTCATGCCTCTAACTGCTTAGATCTCAAACTAAGAGCCTCTTTAATGTAGAGAGTAGCATGCCTTGTAAAAAAATAGCTAAATTTTGAGAGTGGAACACTCCATGGTACAATTCATATTGATTCCCTTGATATTAGATCATTCTTTTTGAATTTAAGTGTGTTAATGATGTCAAATTAAGTAATCATGTGGTCAATGGATTCATCTTGTCAAATTACTCGATTCAACTATAAGCATGCAAAATATGAGGATCATTTACTCCTCCAATTAATATCCAAAAAATTTCAATTTTGCTTTTAAGGCTTGATATGGGTTCATTTTAATTGACTCTGTAAAATTTCTTTTATTGTTAATAAGTTCAGCTCGTCCAGCAAATTAGTTTGATTATAAATTCCATATACAATAAAATGTATTTGGTATCTTAAAAAGTATTTTTATTTTTATTAAATATCAAATAATTTGATTTATGTAGTTATGATGATGGCTACCAAAGCGCTGGCCTCAGTGGTCGTTTGGGTGAGGATGCCAACAGTGGTGTCATTTAACCCAGGGTGATTATCATATTAGAATATTTATATATAGAATATTAGAAAAAAATATTTTTTTTATTTTTAGAAAATTAGAAAAATACTTAAAACACGTCGAAGTTTCTTCTGTGTTTTAAACACTGCTTGATTTTTTTAAAATAAAATAAAAATTATTAAAATCTATGTTAAACAAACATGTTAAAAAAATAAAAATAAAAGTGATCTCCAACATTTAAATTTTATATTTTGATTAAAAAAATTAATGAATATCTTAACATACCATTAAACTAAATATTTAAAAAATTAATATTTCAAGCTATATTATTTTAAAATAAACTTTATAAAAATGTTTTCATGCAACAATACTATTTTAATGCCCACAATTCAAAATGTCTAAACAAGAATAAAATTTAAAGCTATTAAAAAATCCTCAAATTTTTAAAAAATTAATGAATATATGTCTTTATGAATAATTTCACTTATTTAATGATTCTAAATATATTTTAAAAAATAATATTTAACCATCATACAATCTAACATAGGCTTCTGCTATTATAACGGAATAATTAAAATTGAATTGCCTCAAAATAAAATTCCAAGTAGATTCTTTCTCATCTTCATTTTTTTCTAAAATAAGAATTTCTCGGCATAGTGTGTGTCACTATTGGCCATCGCGCTGTTCACAACCATAAAAAATGCATATCTTTTTAGCATTCAGGCGAAGGCTCATAATAGCTACAAACGGATATTTACAGTTCGGTTGGAGATGCCCTTAGTACGCTCGATAGATTGCCACCATATTAGGAAGCCGAGCTCCTGATCACATAGCTATGGCGTGGAGCACTGTGAACTAGTAATCGCTGACTTATAATACTTATGAAATCTATGGCACAAAGATTTTTTAACATTGGAGAATCTCGAGAAATAGCTGCATGTGATAACAAAGCATAGATTTATATTTAAGGATTTTAGATCAGCCTCCCTTTAAGTGCGAAATTAGAGCTTCATATACATGAGATTTTGGTTTCATTTGCTACAGATTTTTTGTCATTATTTTTTTTACTGCTTTTAAGAAATTTTTATACTACAAAATTATTGTAGATTTAGAGGTTTAGTTTGGGACAACTATTGGCCACTATTTTTAAGAATTTTTTTTGCTATAAAGTTGATGTGGAAAAAAAAAAAAAAAAAAAAATTATGCTCGCCGCCCCACACTATAGGCCGCTAACAAGAAGAAAGTCACCCGCCTACTATTGCCACCGCCTATCATCATGACTATAAATATAATATGTATATAAGATTTATGTTTCATTTGAAACAACTTTCTTATTATTTCTTAAAGCAATTTCTTAATATAAAATTTTTAATTTTTATACTAAAAAACGGCTTTAAAAAGCAGTATGAAAAAGTCATCCCAAACGAAACCTTAATCTCAAAATCTTAACAATAATTTAACATTTCACAAGTTAATAACTTTTTGAAACAAATGTAATTCTTAAACAAAGAGAATAGTAATAAGTTTATCTCACTATCATTATTATAGATTAAAACATATTAATAACTAAGAAAATTGCACTTTTGTGCACTAAAAAAAGGATTGTACGAAAGAAACGGATGAAATATAGGTAAAATTTCAGAGCATAAAATTGCAAATTATAAAGCTTTTTTTTTTTAATATTCCGAAATTTATATAAGAATATGGTAAACTGAAGAATCACTCAAACCAAAGCTACAGGATAACAATAAATGTCGATAGTCTGCACCTTAGAACTCCTATAAATTTCCTCTCCATGAATGTAGTATTGGATGCCCTATTCGCGTCTTCCAGAAAGAAGATCATTTGCTATTAGTCTTGATTCAAATTATTAGCAGAAATACCTGAAAGAAGAATGAACAATGGCCTCATTCAACTACTTTGTAATCATCCGCTGTAACCTCCGAAAGCCACAGACCAGGGAACAGCGCCTGCGAAGATGAATCGAGAAATTCAAAAATAGGGATCCAAAATACAAATAGAAGGGATTATTTGAATCCGAATTTGAAATTTCTTCTTACATCGAGTTGTTTCTGCACGGTCTTAGGCCTCTTTTTAGGTCGTCGACTGGGCTTCGTCCCCTTGAAGGCGTAGAAGTCCTCTTCGATCTCCTCGCGAGATAGGGAAACAGAGAATTCCCTCCGCTTCCCATTTTCGCCGACCATCGATTTTAGCATTCCGCCTTTGGCCGGATCGTCTTTTCCCAACAGAGGCTTAGCGTAACAGTTTCTTCCGCTTTCCGATGGGGCGAAGCACGAAGCTCTTCTTGCCCTAAGATTCCACGGCCTGGCTGGCGCTGCAGCGGCCGCTTCAGCGGCGGCGGAAGAAGGTTCATCCTGCTCTGTCTCCTTTTCTTTGAACACTCCTGCTTCAGGAGAATATGAGGCTTGCCTCTTCTTTCGGAGCTCTATTTGGGTTTCAGGAACCGTCGATCCAGCGGCAGAGCCGTCGATTCCAGCGACGGGGTTCACGCAGCGGAGAAGCCGTTGACTGCCCCAGTTCATCGTTGGAAAGGAAAAGTTGTGAAAACGAGATTGCCTGGCAGGAGAGCGCGTCGCTACCTTCTCTCCGGCGGCGCCGCCGACTTCTCCCCGACTCTCTCCGGCCACGCCCTGACCTCTCAACGACATCGTTAGAGAGAAGCACAACGGGAAGATGAAGAAGAACAAGAGAGGGAAGAAGAAGGTGCAACGTTCGTGTGGGGTATGCTCCACGGCTCCAGGTTTATGTATCGATGCTGCAAATAAATTAACGTACGGTACCTCGCATTTTAAACTATATGCGGGTAAATCTATCCACCGTCGAAATGAGTTTGTTTATTTGAATTTTGCTTAATTTGGGCCATACGATGCAAGGCGGGCAATGGGTCCGATCGAATGCTATCGAGGCTAATCTTGTAATTAAATTTATGAAATCGGAATATCGCATATATATAATAAGATACGCAATATACGCTTAGATAATGTGAGGAGTCGGCAGACCGCCGCTATGATTACCTTCTCCTAGGGATTGGGTTATTCTGGTATGATTTAGCGAATTTGGCGGTGATGGGAAGCGGTTTGTTTAAGGTTCCGTTGGAGCATGTAACGCCGCAGACGTTAAATCGGTAGTTAGGGCGGTTATATTTGTAAAAGAAAATAACCGCCATTTATGAGAGAAACTATTTAAAAAATTTTAGTAGTTCTTGAATACAGTTATTATAATAACTGAATTCTAAATATCAATAATATTTTGGCATATAGGTAGTTGGTGACAAAGTCTTAAATTGATCAAAATAAAAATTTAATTTATCATCAAATTGAATGTCGGAGTATGCTAAATCACCTTTCCCACCATTGCTTATTCCCTAAATCAAATAAGTATAACTGAAGCATTGAGAGACAAGTAGTCTTGCTAGAGATATGTTGACACCCTACATAAAGTTTATATTATACATCTTATTATATATTTTTATTATATGAGATTGTGATTTCATAAATTTTGCTATATTTATAAAATATTTATTTGATCAGCATGAATTTTGATGCTATATTTGTATTGTAAAATTGTCTTATGGAGAGATCACTATTAGAATACTATCATTGATGGCCCAAAATAGCAAAATTCTAATAATCAAACTCATTTCAATGGTGCATGGAATAATTTGTATAGAACTTAAAATGTGGCATCCCATTAGTTAAAATATTTTTAGCAATAGAATATACCCCATATGATTGCTAAGATTTTCTCATTGCTCCTTTTTCTATCTCTTCTTCATCTTCCTCCTCTCCTACATCTCTTTAATGATGTTGTTGAGAGCTTAGGTAATGGCTGAAAGGAGGTGAGAACTTGTAGACTTTGTTTGCGAGAAGGAAGCAAAGTGTTTTCTTACAAGGCAATCTCGATTTCATAACTTTTCCTTTCTAACAACGAGTTGGATAGTTCCAATGACTTTGGTTTATTCTCCTCTTGGTATTCCTCATTCAAAAGCTATTATAATTTTATTGAGTGCTTATGTTCCTCCCACCATCATTCTTCCACCAGCTTGTCTTTCTCAACCGACCACTACTTTCATAGCGTAACCCTAAGAGATGAAAAAGTTATTCGATGTAAAAGATGGATCTCAACTTTTTTCCAGACTTTGTCTTCTCATAAAAAGGATTCATCTCACTATTCAATCAATATTTTATCACAAAAAGCGAAATTTGAGTTCAAAGTGCTTGATAGGTGTGATGCTACAAAATTTAATTTGAAAGAATTATTATTTTATCTTTTAATAAATAATAATCAGAGATATCTAATATCAGCTATCAGTAATAAACAATAAAAATATATTCTATAATTCAAATTATAAATATACACATCTATATTCATTCTAAAAAGTTATATATACTACTCAGAATCTACACAATCATATTTTAACTATTATGTTCTGAGTACGAAAGAATAGCTAAAATAAAAAGAACCTGAATATGAAGGGATTCTAATAAGCCATACACTCCTGATCCTCTATCCTGACCTGAAATTATTTAACCACATATAATGAGCTAAAAATTCAAACAAGTCTCTAAAACCTATAACTAAATTCAATGCATATAAAAGGGACAATATTTATGTCAAGGATCAAATTATAGTAGTAGCATCCATATGATGATTAAATCAGTGAAAAAAATAGTAAAACCCATATAATAGTAGCAATAGAATTTGTATGAAATAAAATACTATTGTATGAAATCCAATAAAGTGGTAAACCATTATGAGTATCAAATTTATAAAGCAATCTTCATATCAGTAATACCAATAAGTATAGTAATCATATAAAGTATCAAATCAAAATATCTGTAAAAATTATCAAAATCAATTCAATATAATAAAATCATATATTAGTGTACCCATACTATCCAGGTATTTTATATCACTTGTTTAGTATATCACTTATTTAGTATCAATACAGTAAATTAGTAGAAATCAAATAGTATGAGTATCTAAATCGATAACAATCACAATTCAGCGGTAGGAGCAACAAAATAATATAATAATTATAAATATGTGCAGCAACAATAAATTTGAATAATAATAATAATAATATGTTGACTCGGTAAAAAAAGTTGTCACTCTTTTTCCTCCGCACAATAATCATCTCTTTATAACTCTCTATTAATGTATCACGTGACTCGGTAAAAAATAACACAAACCATAATATTTAATAGAAAGCTCGTCAGCCCATCATCTTGTACAAGCCAATTAGTCTCCAACCAATGGATCAATCAATCTTTACTTATCATTTACACACACATTATTATCATAGTGCTATAATATTAATCTCAATAAGATATGCAAATTCATTTTTAATGCATTGCAGCAAATAAAATATAATTGAGCTTTTTTCTAAGAATGCTAAAATTTCCTAACGGTATATAACTAAAATACTACTGACCAAAAATTCATAATTTTCATAAATAATCAAATTACCAAAGATTGTGTAGAACATCATTCTGAAGCTTTAATTAAACTCAAGTACTATTTTTATATGTCAAAATAAATTCTTGAGTAGGAAAAAATCTCTATATTTTTATAATCACCCTATAAAAAAATCTCAAATAAATACTAAAAATATTCATAATCTCAATCTCTAAAACATATAAATTGTTAGACAATAAAAGTTTTACCGATACAAAATTATCATCATTTTTCGGTAACGAAAATATAAATTTGATTAGCAAAATATTAAAAACATAAAATCTTTGAAATAAAAAATAGGGTAACTATTCATTACAGCGAGACAAGTAAATTTTCCAACAGGCTTGACTAACGAAAATTACTTCGTAACTCCAAATCCTAGATTTTATTCTCTCTCCTCACATTTTCTCTTAATATCTCAAGCCATTTCTCTGTTTGCAGAAAAAAGAATAGGGAAAATGGATTTAAAAAATTTTAATAATGCTTTATGATATTTTGAACATAATAATAAAATATTAATATAATTATTTACTTTATTTAAGTTTCGATAGAAAATTCATATAAATCTATTTGGGACATTAAAAATTATAGAAAAATATTTATAAAATAATTCATATTATTTAGAAAATATTTGTGATATCAATTTGCAAAACGAATACCCGACAATCTCAAAATCTTTACTTGCACCAAGAGATATCAATTTCTTAAGAAATTTCACTGGTGCTCAAAAATTATTTGTGTAATTTAATTAATACTACAATAAGATTGTCTTGATGAAGACGATTTATGATTTGGACTTATAATAATTTCAGAAAAATTTATTTGTCTGTGTCAAAATATACGCTATTATAGTTAGTGCCTACTATGAGCCTCACCTTTCATCACCTTTTATCTTTGTGTGGTTAATCATCTAGACTCATCATTTAAACAAAGACTAAACTCACTACTCAGTACAATTTTTATCACAAATGACAAATATCATGCATGCTTTAAATATTGACCTTTTTCTTCTTTTTAAAGTTTGATGTGATGCTTGACGTATGTTGTTTTGTCAAGCAACTAAGCAAAACATGTTAAATTTATTGAATAAAAAATTTCCCAGGTTTTATTGAATAGTAAAATATTGAATTCCTCAAACATTGTTGAGTAATGAATGATGAGCCCCATTGAATCTTATTGACAAATGAATATTGAATTTGAGTAATGGATATTGAGTTCCTGGATTATATTTTTTTAACTTAGTCCAACACTATTCTTTAATATGCAAGACTTTGATCGCCCATATCTTCTACTCCTTTGACTGGTGCTTGATTTTGTTTTTTTCAAAAGCGCTGAAAGTGAGAGCCCCACTTCTCTTATTGCCAATAATGAAAAGCAAAAGAATCCATGAGCTATTGTTTTATTAAAAAATGTACATAACTTGAATTAACGTATTTTATCTATGATCTAACAGAAATTTCATTAGAGACATAAGCTTTAGGAAGAAGAAGATCAAACAGGCAAGTGAACTCCCAACAGTACATTTTACTGTAGCAATTCAAATAATTATATAGACATATTGAAGATAAGAGAAAGTAAGAAAAAGACTAGTTTGCCCTTTGATGGTTACATAAGGCTGACTGTTGCCAGTGCCAGTTCGGCGGTATCAGTTGCAGGTGCAGGGGGTCGTTGCTGCTTAGAATGAGTGGAGGCCGGTGTGTTGCATTTTTCCTTAACACCGTCCCTCAAGCTAATGGGAGGAACGACCATGAGCTTGGTACGTAGAATGTGATGTTTAGAGACATGAAGTGCCTTGGTGAAGAGATCCGCAGGCTAGTCTTCCGTTGCTATGTGATGAACGGCGATGTGTTTGGCTTGAATGCTGTCCCGCACAAAGTGATGGTCAATTTCTATATGTTTAGTGCGGGCATGGAAGATTGGGTTGGTGGCAATGGACATTGCGGAAATATTGTCACAGTGGAGAGCTGTAGGTTGTAGGTGGATGTTAAAGTCGCTGCATAAGCGGCGAACCCAGATGATATCTGTAGCGGCTGCAGCAAGGGAACGATATTCGGCTTCCGTGGAAGAGCGAGCGACAGTCGTTTGTTTCTTCACTGTCCAAGAGACGAGTGCCTGGCCGAGAAAAATACAGTATCCAGTAGTAGATTTGCGGTCAATTGCGTCACCTGCCCAGTCGGAGTCGGAGAAGGCAGTGAGAATAATATCTGTTTTTGGAAGAAACAAACTGTAGTCTATAGTGCCTTGCAGGTAACGAAGAAGGTGTTTGAGCAGCTGGTAATGCAGTAGTAGAGGCTGATGCATATGTTGGCAAAGTTTGTTGACGACAAACGCAATGTCGGGCCGGATGGTGGAAAGGTACTGAAGAGAACCCACAAGCTGGCGGAACAGTGCTGGTTGGTGAAATGGTTGTTGTAGAGTAAGATCGA